ACATGGCGGTGCACACCTGTGTATGAACAGTTGGGAGGTTGATCTGGGAGCCGAATCTTGACTGAGTGGAGGTAGGACAAGTAAGCAGGTTTTGAGAGGATTTTATTGTGGTTATACATTGTTGTTGCTGTTGCTGTTGCTGCTGTTGCATGCTGTTGCTGTTGTTGCTGTTATTGTAGTAGTAGTAGTAGTAGTAGTAGTAGTAGTAGTAGTAGTAGTAGTTGTTGTTGTTGTTTTCAATTTATTTAGTTGTTTATTGATTGTCGTATGTATATATACTGTTTTTTTTGGTGGGGCAGCGCCAAAAGGAGAAACTAGCTACTAGTAGGGCTATAGTAGTAGAGTAACAATTACTGGGAGCGGTGGTAGATGGAGGAAGAGGATGCTCTTGGAACTCGGAAGAACCCCTTCGCATGGTCGAAGTGGTGAACAGGAAGATGTTTTCAAGTGAACATCACATGGCAAAATTCAGGTTACCAGGGCTACCATGCTTACGGAATGTCTCCGTTGCTACGACGTGTCCTTGCTTCTATCCGCTTTGCCATTCACTGATGCTTTCGACCGAAAACACCTATTGTTATGATTGTGTTAGCTTGCAAGACCTTTCATCGCGAGCTCTCAATTTGACACTCTTTCCCACTTTATTGGCTTCCAATGCAATGGAACAGAATTGCAGTGCCCAGGGAAGGGCAAGCAGCGCTCGGTCCACTTTGAGTGGACCAATTGATTTGCTGGCTTTGGCTACAAAGACTAGAAGCGAGGCCCACAAGTGATGCCATGCAAGTAAGACGGCAACCCAGAAGGGAAACGTTTAGGAGAATGAGCTGCCTGAAACCAGATTATTTTGGTCAGCCGGGCAGTCGGGCTTGGCAAAAACTGCTCGCTAGGCCGGTCGAGCTCTTGGCGCGGTTGGAGCTGGAGAAGTGGAGTGCAGGATCATGAACATAATCCAAAGCAAGTGAACAAAAAGGAAAGCAGAGAATGTCCATTGGCTTTGAAACATGGAGCTTAACTTCAGGCCCATGTGGAGGAGGACCGGCCATTGACGTTTTGAGTCAAACTCTTGCTCATTCAATTTTTCATCTGATCAAGGGACCCTGCTCTAGTCTGGGACCCTACTCTAGTGCAGTGAATCATAGTGAACCCACCTTTTGACCTTTATAAGCCAATTAGCCTGCAACGTTGAGACACTCTAGGGACATCTCAGCCTAAAGGACGCTGGTTGACGATGACGGTGCAATGGCAACTGAGTAAAGTGCTTATGGCCTGAATTCTTGGCCCATGTTGGGCAGCTTCTTTGCACGTGTCTTTATTGTTAATGCACTCACTTGGCGTATCCATGAATGGATCGCCAGAGTCTCAATTCCCACGTGTACAGTCAAATCATGGACACACGATGATTGGCATTGCGTGGGTCAGCTCAGTCAGCTCTATTGCACAGCCTTGAGGGATTGAAGAGGGAGTTCACAGGTGCCTTCATCAACCAAGCTGGTCTTCAGTAGTCTTCGATCATCTTCAATCCTTGTCCTCCCTGCCGGGCGGTTCGATGTTAATAGGGGAATCAGCCTTAGTGGGCTCTACGATGAAGTCAGCAACGGACATTCGCTGTGCGCTGTGCACTTCAGCCAGAATAGAGCAACTGCAAACATGCTGCTGCTGAGACTGTCACTAAGATGCCACTGTTCAATGCAGTGCATTGGCTACGGTTTTGAGTCAGCCGTTGGCATTTCCTGAGCACTGATATTGACAGGTGGAGTCCCAGATTGTCATTGGTACCCCAGGAAAGGTGCAGGACGGTTGTTTGAAGAAAGTGAACTTGATGGAAAGTTAGTTTCCCTAAAACTCCAGGAACCAAATCATTAAAGCGCTTCTTCAACAAAGCTCCCCCTCCGCTCTCAGGCGGGGGGAGCTTCGTTGAAGAAGCGTGGGCTATCCTGCGTCCAGTTACTAGAAACTAACTTCGCCTAGTAGCTTACTCCTCCCTTACTTACTTAAGTAGGCCCGCTCTACTTAATTAAGTAGGTGCGGGCAAAAAAAGCCAGAAACACACAATACCTGTTATATACTTGTTTTGTCTCCAACAACTTTTCAGCTCTACCAACGTATTACTGGCCTTCCAGGACCTTACCAAGAGGCGGACAATCGACCCAAGCAACTTCAGCATCTTTGTGGTGGATGAGGCACGGAACGTGTGCTCAAGTTGGACTTGAAACTCCTCGATCTCTGCCCAACTGAATGCAGGCAGATGTAATGATCGATGAGGCAATGCTTCCTCTTGTGCAAGATTGGTTGACTTTGCAGTTTCCAATCATGAAGCTTTGTCTCTGCAGGGGCAGCAGATGGGACCGCAGGTCAGCAACAGAGTGATTCAGTGATACAAGAAGCTTCAGAAGCTCGAGTATATTAATTATTACTCTCCCTGAAACAACCATGGAAGTGGACCAAGCCCTGTTTGTAGAGGAAAATGATCTTTCCAGGGGCCATGTTCCACTTCCATGATTGTTTGAGGGAGGGTAGCCGTATTAGCCTCTGGTAATACCAATTTGCTTCTCAATACATGTGAAGAAGCATTCAACTGCGGTGGCTATCAATGATTGAATCTGATTGAAATCGACATCACTTGTGCCAGAGAGGATACACTGCGTTAACATTGTCGCTTCTTTTCAGACTCCCCTCCCAAGGTCGTTCAAGTTCGAAGAATGCTTCCAGAACGTGTCCAGGCGCCATTTCAGAGGATTGACAGCTGAGACGATCAAGCATGGTTGGACATTGAGAGGTGCTTCTATTTTCAGCCACATGGCCAGACCATGTCGAAAAATTTGCAAAGCCTGGCACTTGGAGCAGACAACGGTGCTGGTTGTTTGTATCTTCAAGCCATTGCATGCTGGCTCGAAATAGCGAAGCTTCCTCGCAGACAATCTCAAGCCTGAGGATGCTTGTCCCAAAAGCCAACACCATCAAGGCACAGCTGCTCTATGTGCCAAAGAACCCCATTCAACCTTATTCATCTCTGCGATCAAATTGTTCCGATGTGCCCGACAGGTTCAAAAAGAGGATCTTACATTGTCAACCATCACCCAGACGTGCAAAGCCTGGGTTTTCAGTTGATCAGTTTGCTGGTAAAAAGTGGCTCCTTCCTCACTCACGAGGTACATCGACGTCGGAAAACCCGACAAAAAACATGGACAACTCTCAGATCTTTATGGTGCGTTGAACATTGGGCAGAGCATCATTTTCGTCAACTCCAGGCTTTGCATTTGGAACCAGCCACCTCAAGAATGTAACCTTCTTGTGCTGGTTGGTGCAGGCAGGCAGCCTTTGATCTTGCCAAGATGATGAAGACTGAGGGTCATGCAGCTGGGGACCCAGAATTCGTTTGGAGAATGAGGACCTGTGACCTTTGAGATAAAGACTTGGGCATAACGAATGGATTAATGTAGATGGACATGTCTGCTGTAAAACATTCCTTTTAACGTGAAAGGGTGCTTTATTTGCTTTGCTTTGCTTTGATTGAGAATTTGTAGAGATCCAGGTCTCCCTTATTTGTGGCACACAGAAGACAGGCTTGGCTCATGGAAGACAGGCACTGTCACACTTTCAATCCTTTAGAGACCCTGATCAAGGTCCAGAAAGGGTGGACGTAGCCTACCGCGACCAAGCAACTTGGAAGACTAAGCTCACGTCGCCTTAGACACTTAGACAAAGAAGTGACGGACGAGAGGCTCACGTCGCCTTATAATGTTGCTTAGGTGATGGAGGAGTTCCGCAGCGGCGTGACCAAGGAGGGACAGCAAATTGAAGCAGCACCAGTCGCATCAAAAAGAAAAGGAAGAACCGGTCTATTATAGTTTGCTATTAGATTGGAGGCCATCGCTATTAAGTTGGAGGCCATGGTGTTCACACAATGGCAGGTGCTGATTTCCACGGATGTGCTGTCACGTGGTATTGACGTACCTGCTGTGACTCTAGCCCGAACCCAAATATGGATTTCACGGAGTTTGTGGCTTGACATGTTGATATGTTCCAGCTCTGATTGTTTTTCGATGTACAGTAAGGTCGTGAACTACGAGCTGCCAATGAGCTACAGCAGTTATGGACAGCCTGACTATGAGACGTACATGCATCGCATCGGGCGGACTGGCAGGCACTGGTAAGCTTCGTTGAGTTTTTCCGAGTGTAGCACTGGGTGGCACTGCGTAGCACCAAGCAGGTTCGGGCTCAAGGGAGTTGCCGTGAACCTCGTCTCCGACCGTGATCGCCATCATCTCGACAGCATTCAGAGGTGCCAAAATGCGTGCCATTGCAGCACATTGCAGCATCAGTTAACTGCGCTTTGTTTCAAGCGACAACTCTGCTGGCATCCATTGTACTCAAGTATACAACATGAAGCTGCTTGCCCACATCCCTGCCAGCTTCTACAAGTGCACTATGATGAAGCTCAGTGGAGACTGCGAGGTCTGGCATCCGCATGTCACAAACCTATATATACAATATATGTATGCACGTGTTTTTTGTTTTTTCATTGCACATCATTGTGCCCTCTCTATGTTCAATACATTAGGCACTAGGGCACAAGTTGCATCTTTGCGTGTATGCACTGGACACCTGAAGGAGATGGAAGCTTTGCTCAAGGGTTTGAGGTGAGCTGGACAGTTTTGTTTGATCTGGCATGGACACTCCATCGTGTACTTGTAACTGCCAAGGTTTTCACTGTTGCGGTGGGGTGTTTGTGCTAGATCTACTGTAGCAGCTGCGGCAAATTAATCTCCAGTTTGGCCCATAAGTGGGCTTTGATGGTGACTAGTGCCTCAATGTGTACAGCACGGGCCCTTTGGCGAGTTCACAAAGGATTCATCGAGAGAAGGATCCATGGTGAAGTTGGGTGCACAGACATCTGTGGCCCACTCGCAAATCGCATGGTTTGTGATTTGATGCTTCTCTGAAGCTACATGAGCTACATGACAAGTCCAAGATCGTCCAAGCGGCATTGCCTCTTCCGTAGCCAAAAGGTTCAGCTTTTGAGCTCCAGTCCACGTCCGCAAACTTGCCGGCGTCGACACTTACATCGTTAGAACCCTCCGTACTAAGCCAGAAACTCAGTGCAGATACAGCTCGCAGCCCAGCAGATGTGATCAGCATCCTCAGATAATGATAAGTATCCGGCCTAAGGACATGAAGCGCAGTATGAGCCCTAGTATCAGTCTTTGGATCTTTGGATCACAGCCCCAAGTTTCCAATCTTTGCTATAACAAGGGGATTGTGGGTCAACCACATCGTAGCTAGCGTTATTGTTTTTTTATAACAAGGGAAGCCAGGGCAGCGGGATCATTTGAGGCTTTTAGCTGCATCACCTGTTTGATAGCGAGCCAGTTGAAGCCCTAGTTTCTTCAGCAAGTATTTTGTATTGGCTTCTGAATGAAATTTATTGGTCATCAGTCATCTACTGTCATCACAAGGGCTTAAGTTTGGCAGCTTAAGCCCTGTTTCATTGCAGCAGGTGCAAATTTGACACAAGCAAGCCTGGATTTGTTTGGGACGACGACGACCTGTGATCCTGAGGATTCCCTTTCATTGCAGCCATGGTAGTTCTTGAATCCGGGGTAGCAGTTGCTGCCGCTGGTATGACACCAGGTGCTTTTGCCATTCATTGCTTGAAGTTGGAACTTTTGATAGCATTTCACGATTGATCGTTTTATTTCAGGTGCTGCTGCCAAGGTGCATCCAGTACATTGGCACTTGTTCTGAAAATGTCGTCAGAGCGGGCAGGTTTATGAGTACAACAGAGACAACTTCAAGAACGACCGCGAGCAGCGTGGACTGAGCATGCTTGCTCTCCTTCAGAATGAATCCTTAGATGTAAGTTCTAGTTGACTCTTTTTGCCAAAGCCCAATCAAAACGCCAGGTATGAAGAAGGAGTTCCATGAGCGGAAGTACCGTGTGATCCAGGGCCAACTCTGGCGAGAGGCCCCACCCGGCGTGCCTTTTTTGGTTTCACCTGGGGCGAGGTGGTTTGTTGAGTAATGCATAATGATATATTCTTGGACGAATTTGAGACTTACCCCCTGGGAGGATGTCCGGGACTTCATTTCTCTCACGGAGCAGAAGATGTCCTTGTACCTCATCATCAATGCCTGACCCTCGAAATTGCAATCACAGTCCATGGCGCTCGCCGCCAGACCCCTGTGCCAGATTTCACTTCTCTATCTTCTTTTGAAACACATCTTCTTTTGCTGCCTTGACTTCGGAGGTTTTGCTGCTGAGCTTCACCGTCACAATGTGGGTTGAGGGCCAACTTCCAGAAACCACTCCGGATTGGTTGGTCATCGGTGCACCCTGCATGTTTGGTCTTTTGTTGAGAGTCCTGCATACATTGTAGTTCACCAAGAGTTCACCAAGTTCAGATTGGCGAGGCTACCAGATCGCTTCTGTTGTTGCCTTCTCTTATCTCGTGCTGACCATTTGGTGGATGTCTTGACTTTGGCTTGTTTTGGCTCAACGGCACAGAAAGTCTGTCAGCTTTGTCCTGATATGTGCACTGAGGTTGGCGATGCATGCGGCAGTGTCAGCACAGAGTTACCAAGCGAGAATACTAACTCAACTGGCTGGTGCCTCAAACTGCAAAATGCACGTGCCACATTTCCAGGAGGAGCAATGACGCTACTAGGGGCTCCTGGCCATACTACTAGGAGCAAGGACACTACTAGTAACAAAGGGCATCGCTATTATTAGGAGCAATCACGCTACTAGGGGCTCCTGGCCTTACTACTAGGAACAAGAAGCTACTAGGAGCAAAGGGCATCGCTAGTAGGAGCAAGACGCTAACTAGGAGCAGTTGACCCGTCACCTTGTCAGTCATGGACTAGACACCCCCGGGCCTTGAAAGGCGAGATGGGACTAGGAGCCCCAAATAGCGATGCCCTTTGTTACTAGTAGCTTCTTGTTCCTAGTAGTACGGCCAGGAGCCCCTAGTAGCGTCCTTGCTCCTAGTAGCGATGCCAGGAGCCCCTAGTAGCTTCTTGTTCCTGACATGCAGTTGGAGACGAAATGAGCAGATTGATCAGGTCAGACTGCCACTTCCAACTTGGAAAGAACTGGAGGCCAGAGTCTCCACGGATTGCTATGTGCCAGACTTGAAAGGTGAACTCAAGCAGTCTGGCAGTTCACACCTTCCCTTCCCTTCCCTATTTTTGCATCTTGCTTGACGGAGTGTGACCATGTGGTGAAGCGTGGAAAGTGATGATGCTGACTCGTGCGTCAACCCCTGCAGGCCGCCCGAACAGCGGCTTCGGAATTCGAGAAAGTTGAATCAAGGTGCTTCCGGCGGCAAGTAAAGTCGTTGAGGTTGCCAAGTTCGCTTTCGGATCCGGGCAGGCAGCAGTTTCGTGTGCCCTTTGTAACTGGTGCTCAAGAGAACTTCGTTCCAGGACCCGCACATGAAGCAATTCGCTGAGTTGTCCTGTCAGAGATCTGCGTTTAGCAAGCTTTGTAACAGGACACACAGCCGAAGCCTCAAGCAGTACTGCCACAGTGGAAGTCACTGGCAACACGGGTGGCAGCGACCGTCAGGCCAAAATGTTGTTGTCATACGTTTCGCAATTCCTGCCATGCGTCGTAGTATTGCATTGTTCAACTTCTTCTTGTTTATTATTACTATTATTCCCCAAACAGTGTGGGCACACTGAGGGGTTCTTACGGTAGGAGAAAGGAAGCTGATGCTTAGATTAGCGCGCGGGCGTGTGCGGCTATTTCGTTGCTATTTACAGTACATTCATGCCTCTCGACATCGTCCATGTGCACTTCGACTGCGCAGGCTCGCAGAATCTGGGTGGCCACAGTGGGTGCTTCTAGCGACTGCGCTCTCGTTGTGGTGCCGTGCGCACTTTCACACATGGTGATCACTTTTCGTGGCAGGCGCAAGGGAAACCTCGTGTTTTGGTGCTCCAAAGTCGACTTTTCGTGACAGGTGCAAGGGATCGGAGCTGTTTTAATTCGAGATGCAGTTTTCGTGGCAGGTGCAGCACTTTGGACATGGTGGTGATCGTCAAGGAGCTCAGAGTTCGTGACAGGTGCAGTGAATCGTGAATTTTGGACATGTGGCTCGTTTGCAGATTTCGTGGCAGGTACAGCACTCTGTGACCGTCGATGTGCAGATTTCGTGGCAGGCAGAGCATTCTGTGACCCTCGATGTGCAGATTTCGTGGCAGGCACAGCACTCTGTGACCCTCGATGCGCAGATTTCGTGGCAGGCGCAGCACTTGGTGAACCTCGAAGTGCAGAGTTCGTGGCAGGTGCAGCACTCGGTGAACCTCGCAGTGCAGATTTCGTGGCAGGCGCAGCACTTGGTGAACCTCGAAGTGCAGAGTTCGTGGCAGGCGCAGCACTTGGTGAACCTCGACGTGCAGATTTCGTGGCAGGCGCAGCACTTGGTGAACCTCGAAGTGCAGATTTCGTGGCAGGTACAGCGCTTGGTGAACCCCGATGGGCCGATTTCGTGGCAGGTGCAGCAGTTGGTGAATCACGCAGTGCCGATTTCGTGGCAGGTACAGCGCTTGGTGAACCTCGAAGTGCAGATTTCGTGGCAGGTGCAGCGCTTGGCGAACCTCGAGGTGCAGACTTCGTGGCAGGCACAGCGCATGGTGAACCTTAGAAGTGCAGGTTTCGTGGCAGGCACAGCACTTGGTGAACCTCGAAGTGTAGATGTCGTGGCAGGTGCAGCGCTCTCTCACTCTCCCACTTTCACTCACACTCACACTCCCTCACACTCCCACTCTCACTCACACTCGCACTCACACTCACTCTCCCACTCTCACTCACACTCACTCTCACTCACACTCGCACTCACACTCACACGCGCACTCACTCACCAACACTCTCGCTCACTCTCGCACCCTCACTCACACTCGCTCTCACTCTCAGTCACACTCACTCGCGCCCACCTTCACTCTCACTCACTCTCACACTCACACTCACCCTCACTCTCACTCTCGCTCTCGCTCTCGCTCTCGCTCTCTCACACTCCCACTCTCACTCTCACTCACACTCACTCTCACTCTCACTCACACTCACTCTCACCCACACTCACTCTCACTCACTCTCACTCACACTCGCACTCATTCAGTCTCCCACTCTCACTCACACTCACACTCCCTCACACTCTCACTCTCACGCACACTTACTCTCACCCACACTCACTCTCACTCACACTCACACTCACGCTCCCACTCTCACTCGCACTCACTCTCACCCTCACCCACACTCACCCACACTCACTAACACCCACCTTCACTCTCACTCACGCTCACTCACACTCACACTCACACTCGCTCTCACTCTCACTCTCACTCACACTCACTCTCCCACACTCACACTCACGCTCCCTCTCACCCACCTCACTCACACCCACCTTCACTTCATCACCACCATCACCTCTCTGGACCCCAACGCGTCTAGATCTTTAGACTTTCTGCTTACAGACCTCACACACACTGTTTGGGGTCTCTTGCCGGGATATTTTTTTAAATGATGACTACAGACTTAAGTCTGCAAGTGGGCCGTAGGTCTGGATTGTCTTGTGGCTTTAGCAAAACACCGAAGTTCGACCAGCAACGCTTTCGACTAGAGTGGGTTTATGCTGCCTCTAGACACATTTTTACATATCTTTACATCTCTGCCAGTGAAGATTTTTTAATCAACTAGGAGCAAGAAGCTACTAGTAACAAAGGGCATCGCTATTAGGAGCAAGGACGCCACTAGGGGCTCCTGGCATCGCTACTAGGAACATTTTTGAATCAACTTCAGTTTCCTGTGAAGATGGAGGTGGACTCCAGTGTGTCCACAGACCCATGGGGTCTTGAGCAAAGAGGAGAGCCTGCGCGATGCTCGAGTGTGCTGAGTCTTGGCCTTCGCCGTCCCACCTGCCCGGTTATTCCTTACTCATTACTCTTTGTCGACAAAATCTTCAACAACATTATTACCCTCTCTTTACCAGGTCTCTTGAGGTGGATCATAAGGATAAGAACGCACACGACAACTGCCTTAAGCCTGGGAGGAGACGCCAATTACGAACTCAACAACTACAGTGGGGCGGAGGCCCGGTTACTATCACTGACATGTACATGACCGCTTCTTAGAGTCAGGAAACAGGTCGCTGCCTCTTGCAGACTCTCTCAGAGACTCTGACTCTTCTAGGTCGCTGAACTGCGACACATCAAGCTGCTTCGGCAGGTGCAGGGTTCGAAGGAAGCATGAGAGTGAAGTGATGGAACGGTGGAACCCAAATTTGTTTGGCTCCAGGCTGCTGTTTACTGGCAGACCTATGATGCCTTTGCACGCGTTTCCATGAGTGTTGGCATCAATCAGTTGATGCTTGGCATGAGCTACTATATCTTAGGGTGTGTGTCTCAGATTTTTGCATCTTTGTCCAGTTTGTTAGTTTTTCTTGCGGTCACACACACACATTGCTTCACTCTGTTTTTTGCCTTTCTTGACACCCTGCTTCGAGGTATGCGATGCTGGAGGTTAAGGCTCCCTGCGCGGCCTTGGGAGGCGTCCTGGCCTTCATGGGCTCATCAGAGGTGCAGAAGTCCTTCCAGTCCCTCCCGTGATTGGACCTCCTTTTTAAACTATAAGCACCTATTTTTAGGGAAAAACACATTCCAATCGATTGGCAAATGGACAAATTGGCCATGGGCGTGGTATGGCGCAGCTTTCCGCAGCATTTTGCAGGCTCATCTCAGGCCACAGATCCTGGCAACGCTGGAAATGCGAGACAAAGGAAGAGTTAGTTACTACATGTCATTACTAGAATGGTCAGTAAAGAAAGAATTCTTTCAATCAATGGTACTCACAGTAAGTCCATGTCAATGTAGATGTAGCACTGGTCCCAGGCGTAGCCAGTAATGTGCCACCTTGTCAACTTCCCAGTTCGCTTTTCCACGGCTCTGGGCTTCTGTTTTGTCCTTTTGTGCAGTGTGTGCCTCAGTTCCTCAGCTTCTTTTTGACCCCACACACGGCTTGCTGCTCTGTTTTCTAAGGATAGACACATACTCCAATGGCCGCACTTCGCTTGGGTCAAAGGATTTTGAGGCAATTCAGGTGCGCTGGGGTGTCTCCTGTTCTACTTCTGGAAGCGCACCTCGGCCTGATGGCATTTTATCGTTTTGCTTGCCAGGTCTTGCAGACCACTTGTGTCTAGTTGGCAGGCAAAGAGCAGACACGTATCGGTGTTACTGTTTCTCTCCTCTTTAACGGTTTTGTGTAGAGCGAAGGCAACTATCAGCAGTGTTCCTGATTCCTTCAACAGTGTGACTTCATGTGCAACCAACATGTGTTCAATCCACCCGCTTGATATCTCATCAAACATAGACTTAAGTTGCCTTTTGCTGAAAAGGAGCACATGCCTTTTGCGTCATGCACAACATCAGCCTTTTGAGGGTTTGTTCGATTCTGCGGGCTAGGTTCGCCATGCTGCTGTGAGGGGCTTGAGATAGAGGCAGGGATTGCAAGCCACTTTTCCTTCTCTGAGGCCGCACCCTTCAAGTATGAAGAGCTCTTTGACCTGTCACCTGCTTGCAAGATTTGCAACCACATGTAGTGAAGGCATCATTTAGCATAACTTCTGGTAGGAAAACCAGGGATATTCTGTTCTGGTTGCTTTAGGCATGCAAATGAGGTTCCAACGGAGGCACATTACATTCGTTTGCTCACGTGTGAATTTGCAAGAAGCATTTACTGTAGAATTTTCAATGCGTGCAGTATCGAAAGCTGTCCTCGGATGGGATCTCCACGTGACCGGGACCCAGATTGTGAAATGTGCAGAGAGAGAGAGAGAAAGTCAGTGAGAGTTGTTAATCAAATATACTGTACTGGCTTAAGTCAAAGTTTGTAAATGAGTTCTGTAGAGCTTGATTCTGCAATCTAGTGGTGCGATGTTTCTTTGTGTCGTAAGCTCAAGGACTCAAAGCCTGCAATGGCTGCGGTATGTAGTGAGAGAGAGAGAGAGAAAGAGAAAAAACACGAGGGGAGGTCAGGATACCTTCTGAGATGTAAGGCATGCTGCCATCTGGCGAAAAGCTTCTCAAGGCCGACGAGCACAGTTGCAAACACCATGAAGGTGGAACAAAATGGTATCGCAAATATCCAGTGGCCCAGCTTCAGTTCTTTAATCTGCTACTCTGATTTGTCAGGTCTGTCCAAACGGTCTCTAGCATAGATGCTTGTGTACTTAGCCATAGCCATAGCCTTCTTGTTGGATTCGACAGGTGGAGGCCCAGGTCCTTGAGGACTTGACGCACCAGGCTCATTGAAGTGGAGTCCAATATGGAATCAACCTTATGTCATTGTGTATAGGCTGCAAAAGCTGTGTTGAAGACCTGCAGCGCCAGAGTGCTAGAGAGGCAATTGTGGACGTGCAGCACCTTTTCAGACCTGCTCATTTGCAAATGTTGTCCAATATCTTGAAGGAGAGAGCCGCTTGAAGTTCAATGTTGGTTAAGATTTGACAATTGCTTTGTCCTCATTTTTGTTGCACAATCTCAGTTGTCAGGATCCAGAGGCGTCTTCCAATGATCGTTTTGTGGCTCTGGAACTGCTCAAGAATGCATGCGTTGCCCGGAGATGACGGTTTCAGCTGTGGAAGATCTCTAGGTGTTTGTGCAGTCTTTCTCTGGACACGTGATTATGGAATGCACATGTAGTGGCTCAGAAAGGTCGAACATAAAGCGATAAGCCCAGGCAGATTCGCTTCAGATGTAGCATCTACGGGCATCCAAGTTGAACAGCCATACGAACCCACCCACAGAGGACCCGCACAGAAACCTTCGAACAAAGACGTCCTGCAGCAAACATGAAGACGTGGACAAGGTAACCTGCAGCAACTCCTTGGCTTTGCTGGTTGGTACAGAAGATTCAGTCAAAATTCCACGCTGTACTTTGCCTGACTTCTCAGGGCTTGTAGCCGGCCTGATGACATGTCGCTTCAATCGGCCTGTTGTGGCGACGCCCGAGCCAAAATGTCTCCTCCCACAACTGAGGCCAGGGTTCATGTTTCATTAATTTTTTCGTCTGAAATTGTGTTTCAAAAGATTTGGCCTCGCACATTTTCCTCTGCCTTGTTCTAACTCCCTCATTCTTGCAGTCTTGGGCAACATATGTCGCAGGTGACGCCACACAACCTCTCAGGCTTCATCAGCATGTTTGGGTGCAATGACATTACATGGAAAGCAATACGTTTGCACGATCCGGAAGAGTCATCCATGTGCACGTTGCCCGTTGCCAAGGCGTTTTGGAGGGGATCAATGATGGCTTAGGTGCACTCGAATCTCTTCAAGCTCAGTAAATAGAGCTGTTGTAAGCAGGTACTTTGCTCCACCTCGTCCAGCAATGCTGTTCAGAGCAGCAGCAGCTGAAGGAGCCCAAGATAAGACACGGGGTGATGGTTGCGTGGTTGCTCAGACGTGGTTGAGAGAGGTGTTTAGGCAGCTAGCATATGGAGCTTGCAATCAAATCCTATTTGGCTGGTTGGCCTCTGCAGATTGAATGTATTGTTGCCAGAACCTGGCCATTATCAATCGGGAAATGATGCTGCGGCAAGAGAGGCTGGCAGCACAATGCCCTTTCGACATTTTTTTTCAATATACAGGGGAAAAGGGCTTCTTTGAAAATTTTCATCTGTTCTATTTTGGAGTCTCCTTGTCTTGGAAGGCAGTTGAAAGAGATAAATGAGGACAAACTCTTGATTCGTGGCTTGCCTGCTGCTTAGACAATTTGTACTTTGTGCCTGCATCGATCACTCCGCAGGAGCATTGGCACCGGCGCAAGGGTGAGGTCACCTTTGCAGAGGCGCAATGTTTGCCCTGATTGCAACATCGTTGTGGCAGCCATGCTTCATGGATTCGTGTGCGGTGGGAGGACAATCAAGAGGATGAGGATAAGGAGACGGACAAAGAGCATGAAGTACAATTGAGCCCAAGATGCGAGGCCATTACAGGGGCCTTAAGGGAGCCCAAGTCTAATTTCTTTTGTTCCTTCTATTGTATACCAGTACAGTTTCAGCTGTTTGATTGGTTGGACATGGGAACCTCAGCTGCTGGAGCCAGACTTCAGGTGACAAGATCGTTTGGACCACAATGTCGCAGAGTTCAGTTGACTCAAGTTGCCCAAGTGGTCACTCGCTTGCAGATGCGCCTTTTTATGAATATTTGACTGAACTTCCAGACACAGTAGAAAAAGGATGAACAAGGAGAAAACCGGCACAGCCAGACGCTGGTACTCTGTCTGTTGGTAGGGGTTGGTACGTAGGTCGATGAGAAATCGCAAAGACGTGGCATAGAGCGAAACAATGCGAACCGCTGAATGAAACAATGCGTTTTTTGTTCGAGTGACTAAGTCAAGATGGATACCAGATCCATGCAGCAGCTGTCAGACATTAGCACCAAGTTTCTCTTTTAGGCCCGTTGTTCTCAATGGCATTGCAACACATTCGGTCGGAGGCTTTGGAATTGCCAAAAGAAGAGCCAGCAGCCACTTTGAATGTCTGTCAGAAAGGCGTGGGAGTAGCTTAAACGAGTGCGGGGACACACAGAGAGCAAATTACCTGCTCAATACAGCCTAGGGCCTAGGGACTGGTAAATACCGTTTTTAGTATCTGCAAATGACACTGATGATACTGTGCGACAATCTCAAGCTATACAGGCGCTCAATATTTGCAGTCTTTGCCAAGAGAACGGAGTTCCGGTGACGGAGGTTCTGAGGCCGGCCGCATGGGCAAAGCTATCACGTCGCGAAGCTCTCCTCGATTTGGTCAGAGGTTGGGAGATGGTGCGTTTTCTTTGAAAGTCCAGCCCAATCCGTTCGAAGTTGTGTTTTGCTACTTGCACCAGGTTCGTCACCAACGAAGAATCCCAAGACTCCGTCACCTTCCAGATTGCAGGAGCCTTTCAGCGGCTTTTCACCCAAAGCTCTTGCTTGAACTTGCTTGTGGGCCTCCACTTTAAAAATCAATTAGTTCAAAGGAACCACAAGAAGAAGAAACCAATTAGTTTTATGTAAAGAAACACTTTTCAGATTAAGATTGAGAGAACACAAGGCCTAAGGCCTTTTCGGCCTACCTATCGAAGCGTTAACGCTCAGAGCTTCGCAGGCCTAGCTTCCACGGCATCACCTCGAAGAACAATGGCACGCTCTGCGAGGCCCCTTGGCGAACGCACGGCGCCAGTGCTCAACATCTCAACATCTACTAGCTTCTTGTTACTACTAGTAAGGCACTTGTTACTAGTAGCGAGGCACTTGTTACTCTAAGTCTGAGCGACCGGCTACAGTGATTCTTGCAATTTTGATTCTTGCTGACACCCAGGAGAAACAAAAGAGACGTTCAGGGTGTCAACAGTTAAGTAGAAGACACATGCTGACAAACAGTGAAGTTTGCATTTCGCATCTGCCAGTACAGAAGAAGCCATTGACATGAAAGAAAGGATATCCGTCATACAACATACATGGCAAACATAAATACAACATACTTCGGCGAAAGATAAAGCACAGGAAGGCGAAAGTTTGGCTAAAGTAATCTTTTTTTGAA